ACCTTCTCCTCTCCCTCCTTCCCTCTCTCCTTCCCTTTCTTTCTCCATAGAGTTTCCCATTGGTTGTAGTTTGGTGAGGGCAGGTACTCCACCTTCCCACCAAGGAAGCTGGCTAAGGCCTCTGCTTCCCTGGGCTTGAGATCTCAGATTGGCCTGTGGAACACATACTACTTGGACTTTGAATTAAAAAATAGTAAAGCAAAGACAAAGGTATGATTAGGCTTTATTCTTGATGGTGGTGGTGCCCAGTGATGGCAGGATACAGTGGGGGCATTTGTTATGCTTGTTTACTGGCCTTCCAGAGACGCCTTGGTTTCTGCCTATTTTCCAAACTTGTTCTCTAGCTTCTATTCAGTGAATCCTTGGTGTCCTTCCAGGAAATTATTTTTTTCTTTTTGTTTTGTTTTTGATAGCCAGATGTTTTTTGTTTTTGTTTTTTAAAATTAACAGAGTTGGTTTTTATTGCTTACATCCTGATTTATTCAGGTGCAGAAAGACTCCCTAAATAACTAGCCAAGAAAAATTTGGCATGCAATTTTCAAAATTCTTTCTTTATTTTCATATGACATATATGCATCTTGAAGTCCATGCCTATATATTACCTCTTTTTTAAAAAAAATATAAATTGCTCTTAATACAACAGACCTAGTACAGAAATGTTGCGTGTAAACTGAATATTTTACAATCTTTACAAAAGTGGGTAATTAATTCTTTTATAAAGTTTGGAATCATTTAATAAGAGATAAATGAATTTTCCTAATTTTTGCAAGGCAAGACTCCCTAAAGGGAGGCACATATACTATTGCTGGTCTATCTCAAATTAGGAGTTCTGGAGAGAAGGCCCAATTCCCAGTCCTGGCTCTACCACTTACTGAATGCCACTTTGCACAAGTCATTTAATATCACTGAATCTAAATTTCTTCATAAGTAAAATTACAGTGATAATGATAACTAGTTTCAGAGTTGCAATGACACTCAAATGGGATAATTATGCACATTCTAGAGTACTATGCAGATGTTTATTATTATTAGTACCAATGAATCCCATAACAGAACTGCTGATGGAGCAATGGCTGTATGAAAGCCACCAATCAGTCTGATGAGAAATCTCTAATATTAAAACACAATGAGATCCAGGAGGCATTTTATATATTTATATATATTTATTTATATATATCATATATTATTTATATGTTACGGAACCTACATGATACCACTAAAGTATAAATGTTATCAATAGCAATAAAATTCAAAATGTGAATTTTGTTCTATCTGAAATATTTTCAAGAATATAAATTTCATACATATATTTGTTATATACCAACAAATATATATTTGTCAAATATATATGTGTCCAGAATATATATTTTATATGTTATTAGGTACAATATATATAACAAATTATATATTTTATATCATATATGAGAAAAATTGCAGAATCATAGAAAGTTAGGTTCAATTAATCAGATGTATTAAAACATTAACAGATTGTTCCATATTATCTCCAGGAATATATTTATTATTCTCTATATCTTTCTTAGCCAATTTTATGACTTTCTAAAGAAAGTATTTCATCATACTTAAATGTTTGACTTACTATGCTATAATTTTTTCATTCTAGGCCTTTGTTTTGTGGTAATCTCTGAGTAGTTTTAAAATTTTACAAAAGTATATACAAGTTAATTAATTTGTTCTTTTTTAAAAGACAGATTCTGCTTACATTTACATTTTTATATTTACACTAGCCTACCCTTTGTTTTTTGCTTTTCTTTTGCTTTTGTATTCTGGGGTTATTAAGGAATAGAAATAAAGGGACATTCTTATTATATTATAATATAAAGGGCAAATCTTGCTGAAATAACTTAAACCTTATGAAATTACCAATATTTATAGCAGAAAGTAGATTCTTTCCATTTAACAAAATGAAATAAAACTCAGAAACTAGCTTTATTTATCTTACCTCTTAGAGGGCTTATCTGTGATAAATGTACAATGTTAAATTGACTTGAACACGCCTGGTACAGAAGTACAATTTTTCTCCCCATTAACTGTAATATCATTCATTACTTTACACTGAAACAAAGACGGGAACACTGAGATCAAATTCCCATTGATGATAATGATCAGGTAAACTCAGTACATTTCAGATGATGATCAAAATGAAAACCTTCACATAGAGAAATGATGGATGATCTCTAATTGTGTTTAACAGGTAGTAAAGAAAAATAGCCTTTCCTTTTAAGTGATATGACCTGATTATTTCTGACAAAAGCCCTGTTACAAGCTGTACAATCACTAATGCTTAAAAAAAAAATTAAAAGAGTACAGTAAAGACATGGCCTGTATGACCTTCTAGGTTCTCCTATCTTTCTTCCAGAGTTCTGATAAAATATATAGGTTGTGCTTCTGTAAAAACTGTCATATATTGAAACAGTTAATCTACAACAAGGGCACAGCATTAAATACCCTAGCACCTTCTGACACAAAGTATGAACTTTGAGGAGCACAAAAAAGCTTCAGCACAATAAGTGTAATCACCAACATATGTTTGATGATTTATTATCAATAAGGATTTGATGGTTAATGATTTAAGGCAGCATAGTTCTTTTCATATCAATTCCATAATTTAAATTTCTATAAATATTCTTTAAGCTCCTCTTTAGGATGAAGCATTATGCTTGCAATTAGACATAGAGACTAGAAAGATGCTGTTTCTGCCTTCAACAC